AAGAAGGCCCCACAGGAGGAGGTGGTGGCTCAGCAGGCAGACCAGGCCCAGGTCGGTCTGATCATCAAGGTACTCGGCCGCACGGGGTCCCGTGGTAACGTGACGCAGGTCCGTGTCCGCCTCATGGCGGAGGAGGGCTCTCCTGACGCGAACCGCACTATTGTGCGCAACGTAAAGGGACCGTGCAAGGAGGGCGATATGCTGTCACTGATGGAGACGGAGCGTGAGGCCCGCCGTCTGCGNCTATTGTGCGCAACGTAAAGGGACCGTGCAAGGAGGGCGATATGCTGTCACTGATGGAGACGGAGCGTGAGGCCCGCCGTCTGCGCTAAGCAATATTCTCATTGTTTCCTCCTGAGTTTCATTTTTTGTAATTGATGCCAAAACACAGAAAAAGGGGTTGTCGCTGCCTCATTTCTGAGTAGTGGTGACGATGGCGGCTGCCTATGTGTATGAGGCGTATACCCGCCTGTTTTTAAAAAAATCTTCTGTACCTTTCTTTCGCCTTTTCTCGATGCTTCTTTTTTTTTTTTGTTGACTCACCTGAAGGCGAATGAGTGTACCACTGGAGGCACTCATTCAGGNTTTTTTTTTTTTGTTGACTCACCTGAAGGCGAATGAGTGTACCACTGGAGGCACTCATTCAGGCGCTCGCCATATTGCAGCAGGCGAGCGCGCTGGATCTTGCAGGGGAGAATGAGGCGGCAGTGGAGATGTACAGCGGCGCTAGAAGCGAACTAGACGCCGTCGCACCGTACCTTCCTCGCGAGCACGGCGACGTGGTGCGCCGCAACGCGGACGGCATCAAGCGCCGCATTGATGAGATCAAGAAGGAACGATGGGTGCAGGAGCGGCGGAGCGAGTTCCCCACGTTTCCCGTAGAGTACCTGCCGCAGCCCGTCCCCGCGGAGGAGTTTAGAGTCCCGCTCAACCCCACACTCCGCGTGTTGTGGCTTATGCGGCTGCTGCAGCGCTCCATGCGGCACGGTGCCTTCATTGCACCTGATCTCTTCATTGGGAAGGAGGTGTGGTACCAGAGTGGCGGCGGTGCAGCGCTGACGCACACCGGGCCGAAGATCCGCTACCTTGCTGCTCTCTGCGAGGCGATGGAGAAGCTTCGGGCGGCCGCAGGGGCGGCGCTCGACAGGGTCGATACTGTTTCGAGAGCTCTACAGAAGTACCTCACTACTGCGGAGGAGCTCACGGCGGCACTGGAGGCGGAGATGGGAGTACGCGCGGAGGGGGCGTCACCGCGCTCGAAGTTAGAGCGTGGCGTGCGGGGCCTGTTCCAGAAGGGGCAGCAGAAGCTGCGGACGTGGATGAATCAGGAACCAAACGTCGAGCTGTGTCTCATTTGGGCAGTCAACACACTCGAGCAGGCGCAGATGTTCGAACGGTGGATGGTACATTATTCCCACCTGCACAATTCCCCCGGCGCAGCAGAGATTCTGGGACTTCTGCACCGCGTCGTTGCCGTGCTGTACGCCGGCCCGTGCACCTTCCTTCTGCGTGACATGGCCGTTCTGGTGGAGCGGCACCAAGAGAAGTGCCGGAAGAGTGCCACGCGCCTGCTGCCACTGAATGTGAAACTGGAGAGCACCTCGAGTTAAGCCTCAAAGCTTGAGGAGGAGGCTGATCGACATCTGCGAAAGCGAGAAATATATAGGCGCTTTGAAGAAAAAAAAGAAAAAAAAATGGCTTCTGTGTGCTTGTGCCTATTGTGGCTGTATTTCTCTTGGCTTTCCTCTAGCTGTGCGTGCGCGCACACACACACACACACATGCATGCCCACGCCACACTCCCCCTTCCTCTCTGTCCCCGCATCAAGATGCAAAGGCAGCAACTCACCTTGGATGCCGCGTACAAATTTGCACTCTGGTACCTGCTTTTGTGCGAGGCCAAGGACAATCAGGGCCAAACAGAAGAATGCGCCTCTCACGATGCCTACGTGCGGCATACTGCCGTGTCGTTGATCCGAGCCTCCCTCCCTCGCAGGACTCAGAGGAGCTGCTGCTTGTCCGGTGCATGTGGGAGAAACTCCTTGACACACAGGACGGTTCACTTTGGGCGGCCAGAGGTGCAACCTGCGCAGGGTGAGCGTGACGATGTCTGTCAGTGCCTGGCGCACGCAACGGCGTGCGTGGGTCGGCCGGTGCGTCTCTTCCTGCGGGACTACATATCCTCTGCGTCGCTGACAGGGGACCGCTACGGGGGTCTGCGCTGCATGCTTCGGCACATACCTCTGGAGTGTGTGACGTTTTCCAGCATACCGGATCCCCGGGACGCGCAGCACGTCGTTGACGAGCTGGGCGCAGTGCTAAAGAGCGGCGCGGGTCGACTGCTGCGGCTTAGTCTTGGTGGCTTCCCGGCGTACGTGAGGATTGCGCCGCTCCTGCAGGCCATGACACTGCACGACACAGTGACAGAGTTGAGGCTAGAGGACTGCGGCATACAAGACGTGAGCGTTGTGGTGTGCCACATGCGGGCGTCGATGCGGCTGCGGCGACTTTCCTTGCGTGGGAATCACGGGATATCGGACGGCATGCCGGCGCTGGCCCTCGCAGTGGCGGCGTCTGCCTGCCTGCTTTCGTTGGATGTGGGCCTCTGTCGCTTGAGGGATGAGCACTTGGAGGTATTTCTGCGTCACCTGCAGGGCTTCGCGGTGCGTGCACGTTTCGTCCTCGACGCGTCTAGCAATGTGCTCAGCAACGCCTGCTTTGCGGACCTCCGCGACGCACCTGCTGCCTTTCGCGAGACACTGAGCGAGTTGGACCTCAGCGGCCACAACTTCAGCAACGGCGGGGATGCCGCCGCGGCCACTCTAACGGAGCTGCCTGCGCTGACGGGCCTCGTGCTGAATCAATGCGAACTTGGCCCACGTGATATGCAACGGCTGTGTCGTGTGCTTAGTCAAAAGGAACGACAATGGCGGCAGTTATCGTTTCGCGGGAATGCCCTGACGGTCCCCGATATGAAGCGACTGACGCTCGCCTCTTTTGCGGCAGATTCGTGCCTCTGCGTGGCGGGCAACAACATTTCGGCGGGCGTGCCAAAGCTGGGTCTGGCGTCGGTGCTGCCGCTGCTGCGCGAGCTTGACCTCTCGCTGTGCGACATCGGGGACGAGGGTGTGCAGCAGCTGGCCAGTGGCCTGGAGAAGGCGCAGCCCCTTGCGCTGCGCGTGCTGCGGCTCGATGGTAACGGCATCGGCGTGGAGGGGAAGAAGGGGCGGGGTGGGGTGCAGTTTCTCGGCAGGGCGCTGCGCGCGAGTCACGCACCGGCCCTCGAGTTGCTGTCGCTCGCGCACAACCGGCTGGCACTTCGGCCGCTGCTGACGCTGGTGGAGCAGGTGGCGTGCACGCTGCGGGAGCTTCACGTCTCGTACTCCTCCGTCGCCACTGACGGCGACGAGCTGGCAGAACTCGTCGGGCGCATTGTTCGGCGCCAGAAGTCGGGGAGCCACGCGTTCCTGCAGCTTGACGTGTGGGCGCTGCACCCTCCCGACACTGACGCAACTCGAGGGACTGCGGCCGGTGCTGCGATGGCGGCGTGGCTCGAGGGGCAGCGGTCGCTGCGCGTCATCACAGAGGCGAGATGAGGTCTCCTTTTCACTTCCACCCCCCCTGGCACCGTTGGTGATGGTTGATTTCTCACCTGTCTTGCTCCTTCTTTTGTTCGCTGCGACGTACTGTCCCCGCCGCCCTACGTGAGTGTGGCACACGCTTCGACTCTCTCTTTTGTTTTTCTTGTTATGCGCTGTCAGCTGGGCGGTGACGTCATGACGGGCTGCAACGTGGAGCGCGTGCCGGCGGCGTCGCTGCTGCGAGAGGAGCTGCGGCTCATCGACGGTCTGCTCGACGGGCGGTCGCGCCGCCGCGTGTACCGGCACCACCTGTTTCTCCGAGGGGCCGTCACGCTGCGCGGCGCACTGCGCA